GGCAAAGGGAAATTTCGGCAATCATTTGTAGTTTAAACCCTATACGATTGAAGATGATGCACCTTTTGAAATTCTAATAAAATAGATAATTTAGAATGTCTTGATTTGTGTTATTCTGTTTCTTGGTTGATCATATTACTGTGCCAGCGGTCGCGGGTTCGAATCCCGCTGGAATTGAATTTATTTGTGTGATGAGCACGTACGTTTGTAGTCCAGTTATCGTAGTTTATATTTATATGTATGTATTTAAAGCTATATATGTATAGTGTATCCACTATCCGGTATCCATAACACAAGCCTCGTAGCTTACCATGGACCTAGATGATGCTGTGTTAATGTCCCAATATATTTATTTATTATTTTTATATTTGTAGCATATACATGAATTCTGGTTTTGTATTTGAAATATTTCTATATTAAACTATAATCATTGCTCATTTATAATTTATATATAATAATAAAATTATTTCAAATATTTAAACTAAAATTATTAAATAAAATAATTTTAAAGCAAGTTATTAAGCAAAGAAACTGTATTAAATCAATGATTTATGGCCGTTGCAGCGATATTAGATTATTTCATCTATTTTATTAAAATAGAAATAAAAATCGTGCATCTAATTATACGTACGTAAATCTTTTCAACCGACTTCAAAAAGGAGGAGGTTCTCAATTCGACTGTATTTTTTTTTTATGTTTGTTACCTCAGAACTCCGTCATTTATTAACCGATTTGGACAATTTTTGTGTTGTATGAAAGTTTTCATTTACTATACATACCTAATCAAATATTTTCGAAGTCGGTGTGCTTTGGCTAAGTAATTAAAGCCTACCTATTAAATACATACCTAATCAAATATTTTCGAAATCAGTGCCAGCCCATACAAAGCAAAGCACACCGACTTCGAAAATATTTGATTAGGTATGTATAGTAAATGAAAACTACCAATCAGTTATTTTTTGCTTTTTAGTGCTTTTGTTTGAAGTCGGTTTTTAGTTTTTTGTTAAAAAGTTTTTATTAATGTCACTTTTTACAAATATTTATCAAAAACGTAATTTATAAAAAAGGCTATTTAAAAAGATCTTAATTAAAAATCTAAAAGTATTAAAAGGATGTATGTGTGTATATATATACATTTGTGCCTACAATTTTGTATAACCATAGTACTAGGTATTATTTCAAGTTAACTCTCTAAATAAATCCAATAAAAAGATATTATAAATAAAGCTATACAGAAAGCTAAAAAGCTTTTTAAATGTAATTACGTTGCACTGTATTTTCTCGAGCGAGTAATAAGCCACGTGTTTGTGTGCATCAGTGTGTATGTGTGTGTGTCTGTGAGTGTGTGCGCGTGTTTGTCTCTATGTGTGCAGCAGTCATTATTCGTAAGTACTAGAGGATAGAAATGTATGTATAGATTTTGGTAGTACAGTGATCCACATATTTACATGGGTACACTTAGTTTATATTTAAATTACGTAAAAAATCATTTCCACTCGATTTAAATGAGTATATGTACTAGAATCTAGAAGATTGTGAATATAATTAATGAAACATAAATAATATACGGATAGCTCCCCATTTTATTTTTACTCTCGATGAACGAAAGAAATGCTGCTTGATAATTACTTGCATATAGTAACACGAATTTAATATTTAGTCCTACGGAACCCTCGGTGCACTAGTCAAACTCTTTTTCCTAGAGAATTAAATTACGCAGATCCGTTCTAGGTTACATCTGAAAGCTTTTAAAGGGAAATCAATTAAGGACGTTAGCGTCTCCCTTTGATTAAAGTTATTAGTTTTTACCCTTTATACTTTTCATTTGTATTGAAACAAGCCCTTAAAAAGATACTCTCTGTAGAAAATAAATCTATGTATTTCCTAAACTATTGCCGATTGTGATGAAACTCTGGTGGATTATACTTTATACGCCTGCGAAGGTTACTGGCGAAAAAAAAATGTTTCTTTGGACGTTTGTCTTGCGTTTCTAAACCATTCAAGCTTAGGGAGGCACCCGTGACCCGAGCAAGCGAGGGTAAATCACTAGTTATAAAAAAAAATTATGTTGTATAAGTCCGCTAGATTTTGAGATCGCCATCTGTGCTTATTTTGTTTTTATATTATTTATTAAAACTACTAAATTAATAATTCTACATTTCCACCGATTTCAAAAAAGAAGGCATATAATAAAATCAGGTGTACGTTATTTTTGTGGGTGCATGTGTTTTAGTTGTTAAATTTTATTATTCATTTTTTAAAGAATACGTTATCACTCAAAGATGATCCTATATGAATAATTAATCCTACCTCTCAGGACTAATAAAACAAAGTGATTTTAAAGTCTATGTAATACCTTAGTGAAAGTCGATTAAATATAGTCGACATCTTTTAGTTATTTAAGTAAAATATAATTAATTCATAAAATGAATATCAATAACTTAACAAAATATACCAAAATTTAGAAAAAAAAACATAATTAGCACACATTACAATACCCATTCCATAGTATAAATTTAACCTTAAATCGTAATCTACTGTACATCAAGAATTCAAGCACCCGCACTTGAGAAAACTGCCAAAATCGGTCGGCGCATGCGCATAGGTCAAGCGCACTCAACCCGTCCCTCTCGCTCTCGTGTTATCAAACGAGACGGATAGACTATACCAAATATGCAGTCGACCAAGTATGCAACGATGATTTTTTTGCCATTTTTCATCTCCTTTTTAATATACTTAAGAACAGATTAGGTGAAATTGTGAAGGTGATGTACTTTATGAATACCATTTTATTAGAGCCCTCGACTTTGTCTTAGGACGAAACGGATTAAAGCCGTATTTTTTTTTCTTTTTTACTCTGTTTTTATATAAATCCTGACTTACAAGTTTTATTTTATATTAACATAGCTTAATACTTTCTTAGATTAACTCATATGTTTGACATTTTAAATAACACAATCTTTTCGGATTCTGTGTAAAACATTCAAATCGTCTATCTAATACCTATATTTAAACAAGCAATTCTTGTATATTTATTTATTTATTTATTTATATATACCGGCGATGTCGGAAACGACTCTAACGATTTCGCAGAAATTTTGAATGTAGGGGTTTTCGGGGGTGAAAAGTCGATCTAGATTAGTCTTATGTTTGGGAAAACACGTGTTTTCGAGTTTTCACCCGGTTTTCTTTCATTATTCCACGCAAAATAGGCTCGCTTATTTTGCTCGCTCGGCTATAAGCACCGTCGTCAAGCAGCCAAGGAGCAAGATTAACAATCACAGATGTCCGGGTTCGAATCCCGGTCGGATACAAAGTTTTTATTTTTGTATTTTATTTTCTATTCAATTTTCTATGACAAAATTCGAAAAGATACTTAGTTTTAAAATGGACATAACTTGATAAAATTTTAGTAAATATAATTCAACCAAGAAATAATATATTTATAAAAATATCGCCATATGAAACCATAATGAAGGTTTTGTCTGATTTTCATTTGCTTATTTTTTCAAAGAATAACCTTGTAGCTGGCGACCACCAACGCAATATTGCTTTACTTAGCCGAAAGAAGAGTCTAAGAGATGTGTTTATTCAAATAGGCAATAGCCTAAAACATTTTTATCTACACTTTTGCACTGTATGTATGTAGTACATTTATCTACGAGTATATTAAATGAATGTGTGTAAAACACAGGTAAGAGTACACATTACTAACGTACAACAAATATAGTCCAAATCATATAGCTCAAATCATAGTCCACACCGCTGCAGTGCGGCTTTGTGGACTTCATATGTTTCAACAAAAACTAGTTTGGTTCTCATTTTTGGTGTAGGTCCCTTGGAGTACGGTGTATAATATAAAAATGCAAAAGTGTATAATATTTTATCTGTCATTCTTTTATGTAACAGCTTTAGCAACGCATCAACATTTTTGTTATTGTTAGATAGATTATGCGATGGATGCAGAAGAATTGCTGACCTTCTATTCGCGTTAATCAGTATATAACACATTTTACTGTTATTATAGGTAGTCCTTTTATGTCTAAGTGACAAAAAACAATATGAAGTTATAAAATAACAGTGAAAAATATACAAGAGATAATTTAGGAACTACTGCTTAAAATTATTTTTGTTAAATACATGAATAATTATATTATGTATCGAGCGCATGTAAATACTTATCAAAAAGAAAATTTCGTCTGAGTACATATTCCCGGGATGGGAATAAATTTAGATAGCGATGAAATGTGGGGTTCGCGAGTGTCACATTTTAATAATATATGTCCCCTCTAACCAAGCACTAAATATCTGTACTCCAATATGAGACTTGACTTCTCTACAATAAACATTCATAACGTATTTGGTATAAAAATTCCCTACAGCTACAGATTTTTGTTTAAAAAAATCATACTGTAGTAATTTATTTGCTAGACGATTTTTTCCTATAATTATTTATTTCCACATTGTATTTGAAATTTGTATTCAAAGTAACAAGTGTTTTTTAAAAATTCTAGTCGTTAAGAGTTTCTGTAAAACTTATAAAACATAAACTAGAAAGAAAAATAGCAATCTTTCATTTACAACAAGTTGCTTTTCTTTTTTTGTAAGGAGCTTGAAGCGAAACTGTTAAAATTTTCAATTAATAACAAAATCAATGTATCATATAAATTGATCTAAAGTTAAAAGTATTAAAATTATAAAACTATATGATCGGTATACTAGATTTCATCCGCGACTCTGACCGTATACTCTGAACGGCGAAAAAACCGTCTATTTTACCCAGAGGTCATGTCTTACGCACAAACTAATAATGCCAATAAATATTAGCATAAAATAGTAACATATTTATAAGTAATTAATTTTACGTTATGACATGAAAAGTCATACATAATCTATAATTCGAGAACAAAATGGTGAAAGCTTTACTTTCTGCTCCTTCTCAACAAAAAAGTTTATATATATATTTTTTAATTATACATTTAAAATAATTCATTACAAACCTGTTCATGATTATTTTCTGGTTTGTCGCTACTCTCTGATGCTGAGGAAACTGAGGGTTTCTTGCACCAAGAGGGACACCATCGCCGGAGCATACATCTATAGACAAAAGCGTATGAAATTATTATAATGAAAATAAATTAGTAACCAACTTCCTTCTTGTATTCGGCCCTTTCTACGTCCCACTGCTGGGCACGGGTCTCCTGTCAATACGAGAGGCATCAAGCCATAGTCCACCACGCTGGCCAAGTGCGGGTTGGCGGTCTTCACATGTCTTTCGAAAACTTGCTAGATTTTCTCAGACATGCAGGTTTCCTTACGATGTTTTCCTTCAACGTAAGGCAAGTAGTAATCATGTTAGAAACGATTCGCACATGGAAATATAAGAGGTGCGAGACCCGGGATTTGAACCTTCTTCACTCGGTTTCCCAAGCGAGCGCATTACCACTGAGCTACCACTGCCTTTTCCTTCTTATTTCATTTATAAATACTGTAGAAGAATTACCAAATACATATATATAAAAACTACGATAAATTACCATTAAAAATCTCTTTAAACCTCCATCGAGCTTCTATAATAGGATTCTAACTTTTAAGTGTCAATTCAAACGCAGCAAACTTCCCCAAGTTACTTTTATTGTCATGAATTGTGGTATACTTAAAGTTTGGACGTATCTTTTAGTCTTTTGAGAAAAATATATTGGTTACCTTCTTATTTTTAAAAATATCTGAGTTATTTTATCTAGAATCATGCTATTTTTATGTCACCGGATCTCGGAAGTGATGTCTGGCATTAAATTTTGGACACTGTCCAGATCTGCAGCGAGAAGCTGAGCTGTTTCCTTTCAATGTAAGATGGATATTTTTCAAACTATCCAGGAAATTGATAAAAAATTAACCGGATAAATTGCTTTCATATTAGCATAGATGCAGTTTAATATGCAAAAACATTTGTGTATAGAATTTTTAGTATTTTTTTATGTAACTGTCATGTGTGCTATCATATCATGTTTCTTATGTGCTATCATAAATCAGAAAGTTTGTATATGTATATAGATATATAATGTGTGTGTGCTTATTAAGTTTTTAATTTTTGTTGTGTTTAAAGGCTAAAATGGCTGGGCTAATTTGGGCGAAATTTAGTACATAGATAAGTTCTTATGGGTTCTTCAAACACACAGGTTACTGTTAATTTTATTTTTTTTCAAAAGATGGCACAGTCTATATAAAATATTAGCAGAACCAGCGGCTTCACTCGCGCTAAAACTACAAAGAAACTCTAAAAAGTGGGTTTCTTAAAAACTTTCATCCCCTATTTACCCTCTTAGGGGTTGAATTTTAGATAACGCTAAAATACGTAATTCATTATTTTTGCCGTACTCAATTCATACGAAATTTTCCAACTTTTAGTTCAAGTTTTTCTTTTAATCCAAAGAATAAAAAGTTTCATAAAAACTTTTGTCCCCTATTTCATCCCCTTGGGGGTTGAATTTTTAAAACTCCTTCCTTAGTGGATTCCTTAATCATATGAGGAATACGTGTGCAAAATTTCAATTTTCTAGCCTTAAGGATTTGGCCTGTGCGTTGATACATCAGTCAATCACTTTTGCCTTTTATATATATAGATTATAAATACAAAAATCACTCAAGGACGCACGTGCGCCAAACAAAATATTTAATGAATACTATACATATATATAATAAATTAGGAGAACTCTTTTTTATGTCTTTATTGACTTGCCAAAACAATGCACTTATGAATGCTTTCATTAAACCAATTTCTTGCAAACTAAATTAATGCAGTCAAGAGCTTTTAGTATGACACCCAACGTGGGGCTAAGCTTCTAAAGTATATTGGTTCTTAGGCTTAGCTTATAAAAAGATCTTCAGATTTACTCGATTTTATTGGAAATTTTTCAGTAATATTCCGACTCCACATTAAATGAAGGACTTTTGATTCAAAAACATGGAAATAAACACTAAATAAAATTTAAATATTTGTGTGTATATGGCGTTATGTTTAAGAATAATAGAAACCCAAGCGCAGCTACCGGAAGTAGCTAGCTAACTCTATTACAATTTTATTATTTATTAATTATTGTTTACTTATATTTATTTGAAGTGAGATTTTTTAATTATTTTGCTGAAGGAAAAAGTCATTTAGCAAATTTCGTTCAAAAATTGCAAGTCACTTATCCTTATTTGTATATACTTACTTATTTGTAAGTTTGACATATGGAACTATTTATCACAGCTGGTGAACATAATTTGTATATTTGTAATAGTATTTTGTTAAAGTTTTTATATAAAATATTTTACATTTATAAACTCTGTATTTACTGACCAAAAAGATACCTTTAAGCTTTCTTCAAATTTTCCCACAATCATTTTTTTTTTGTTTCCGCCATATATTGATATACTGTATAGCTACTTTATCTATCTCAATACTGTCTTATCCATATTCATACTAATATTATAAATGTGAAAGTGTGTTTGTTTGTTTGTCCTTCTTTCACGTCGGAACGGAGTGACGGATTGGCGTGACTTTTTGTTTGGAGATAGTTGGAGGGCTGGAGAGTGACATACTTGTGTTAGGAATGGTCCACTTCTTCCCATATGCAAGTTCTATGATTAAGTGGGTAATACTTTTTTAATTTATAGGTATAATACTAATATTAAAGATCTAATGTCGTTTCAAAATTAAAGTAATTTAGTGCAAAAAGTATAAAAATTGACTAACAATAGCCTCATTTTCATCAAAGTCTCTTCAGTTTTAGCGTGAAAAAGTAACAAACATACACATATACAAACTTCCTCAATTATATATAGTAGAAGATTGATTAAAGAATAAACTAATCAATGTATCAACAATAACAATATTAACTATAGAAAACTCATGTCATGTCGGAAGCCATTGTAACAGATAAGTTCGTGTTAATTAAGCTCGGGGCAATTATTTCATGTATAAGAAAAAAACGATCATCCGGGTAAGCCCGGATGTATTGCCATTGGACCCTGGTGATTATGATTATATTAATTCCCTTGACCTCACCTACACGTGGTCCAGATTGACGATTCCTCGTGGACTTACTGTTGTGTTCAGTTCTAAACGTCCCACTGCTAATATATGACTATAACGTTATATATCCTTATATAACTGCCTTTGAGACGTCTCAAACCTTAGTCTCTCCCGTGATCATGATTGCTGTAAAGCAATCGAAATATTGGGAGCCAAAATTCAAATAAATCCGCGAAATAATCCGAAAAGATAGTTTTATTTAAAATACATACTGACATTTAATTTGAATTTTAAAAATGTTAAAAGTGGCGATTCAAAAGTACTAGTAAAAGCCTATTTGAATAAAGTATTGATTTGATTTGACTACCCATAGCTATCTATGCGTAGTCAATCTGGACGACGTGATGCTGCTCATCTATCTAAAGCAAAATTTATTTGTAACTTGAATTGAGACCATTAAAGCTTAGAAGGTTATATTCCGGAAACTTCTAAAAAGATTTGTTTTGGGTTGTATCCCAAATATTATATTAGCCCCGTTAGAGCTTTGTTGTGTAAATAATAATTACTTAAGTTTTCTCTTTGATCTCTAAGGCAAATAAGAAATACTTTTTACCTAAAATATAGTCATTATCAATAGTTATGTACATATAACAACAATATATTAAAAATGAAAACACTAAGTTTTTTATGCTTTTATATCGCACTACCGACTTACCCTCGCTTCGCTCGGGGTCGTCATTTGTTCCTATCAATAGCCGGTCAAACAACTCAACAGCCACTTTTTCGAACTTTAATCAGAATTATGATGGTGTATGGGCACTCGGCGGTAATTTAGTATTCTGCTAGTGAAAGAATTTGGAGAATCATATCAGTAGTTTCAGAGATTACGTAAGATAGGTTTGTATGTAGGGGTACATACAAACTTACAAATTTTACCTTTATAATATTGGTGTAGATTATAACAATTGTTTTTATATCACGTTAGATGTTCCATTAAGTTCTTCAATCAAGAGAATCCCGCGTTGAAAAGCGTTTGATTTCTATGGAAAACGGATAAAAGGCGTATAATGTTCAAATAGACTGTAAGCCATGGTTCAGTAAGTGACACCACCTAAAGGGTTTACCAAAGGGTTTTGCGTCCTTGGAGTCGGAGTTATATGATAAAGAAGATTTGTTTTGCCTCTTAAGGATAGACGTTTTGATTCAGAAGAGGAATGCTAGCGTTCCTGATGTACAGATATTATTAAGCACTATAACATTTTTTATCTGTAAGTTTTTATGATTAAACTAGCGACTCACCCTCGCTTCGCTCTGGTTCGTCCCTAGCTTGCTTTCCCATACAAAACTTTATTCCCATTTTCACCCCCTTAAGGGATGATTTCCGGGATAAAAATATCCTATGTCCGTCTCTGGGTTCTAAGCTACCTCCCCGCCAATTTTCAGCCAAATCGGTTCAGCCGTTTTGGAGTTATAAATAGTGTAACTAACACGACTTTCTTTTATATATATATAGATTTAGTTTCACTATAATCCATACTAATATTATAAATGCGAAAGTAACTCTGTCTGTCTGTTACCTTTTCACGCTGGAATCGATTTAGATGAAATTAAGTATGGAGATAGTTTAAGACCCTGGGAACGATATAGGATAGTTTTTATCCCGGAAATCATCACTTAAGGAGGTGAAAACGGGGGTAGAATTTTCTTTTGAAAATCATTCATTTCTGAAGTAAGGATAATTAAACTCATCATGCCTATGTACATACATATTATACAATATAGTCGATCTATTCCATACTAACCGTCAAAACGTACCTACCGGGGCGGACCCGAGCGAAGCGAGAGTGAGCCGCTAGTTTTCCTTATAAATATCCTTCCTAAGAACATAATAAGGATCGATTATCAACGTTTCGACACTAGCGTCATACATCATCAATTACTAAATTATGAATATCAAAGCTTACTCATCGATAAACTAACCTGATTACGAGGAGAACTAGACATGTCAATATACGCGATAATTTAATAGTTCCCGGAGATTGTATACCATTCAATGTAAGCCAAATAAATAGATTTTATTATTTTAAATTTAACTAAATTTTATACATACTAGCAACTCACCCTCGCTTCGCTCGGGTTCGTCCTTACGTTTTAGCGGTTAGTATGAAATAGAAATCTTTGAATTTCTGATTTATTCTGTAACACATATAAACCTCCCTTTTGAGTCACTCTATCTATTTAAAAAACCTGCATCAAAATCCGTTGCGTAGTTTTAAAGATCTAAGCATACATAGGGACAGACAAAGGGTAGCGAGTAGGGACTTTGTTTTATACTATGTAGTGATATATTATCGAGTCAGACTATTGCACCTATATGTGTAGATATTTTAGTTCTGCTTTCACTTTCGAAGAAAATGCCAAAAACTCAACAAGATTGTCATCTTCTTATATAAAATATTCTATAAATCTACTTTAATATTAGAAATGTAGGTTCAGTAACAGGAGTTAGTGTGATACTAACACAGCTCTACTATAATATATTCTTACTGGAGATGGTATGAATGAGTTATCTCGACCGGGAATAAATATCCTTACAGAATATCGAGGTTAAAGCACCTATACTGTTGCGTTTCGTTCGAATGTGTATGCTGGAGATCTTCGAAATTCCCTCTTGCCTTCTCGCAAAACGAAAGAGGTAATTTATCTTAACTATTAATATTTCAACATTATTGGGACAATTCTTATAAAAAAATAGATATATCTTTATACTAGTGACTCACCCTCGCTCCGCACGGGCGTCCCTACGTTTTAGGGTTAGTATAGATTTTTTAAATAAAGTATTACAGTATAGATTTCTCAGAGATAAGATATTTTCCCGCAGTGAAAAGAACCCTAAATGTGGACCCGAATAACCAGCTATCATCATACCAAATCTCATCAAAATATGTCCAGTGGTTTTCTCGTGATGCGTTCCCAGACAGACAGACAAATGGACGGACAGACATACAGATAGACAAAAATTCTAAAACTATAGATTCAGCCTCTGCATCTGTATCTTATTGTAATGACTATTTAAATAAGATTTTCCAAACAAAAAATGTTGGAAACAGTTACTTTTTTGTATAAATAGGTCCAGACAAAATAGTTCAATCCCTTTTTCTCCGACTGTCTTCAACCGATTTTATTATTTTTGTATAGCAGCTATAAGCTATATTTCAATAATATCATGGTCGAATTTCGACCACTGGGCGAACACTATTTTTATTAAAGGATCTAAATCAGGCACGAAATGTAAGAAGTAAAAATTTCAAGGTCTTCAAAATTTTTGGAGCTTCTCACTGACTAGATTATTATTAATTTTATTATTCGGAATTCGAATCGGCTATTCTGAATCTAATAACCGGAAGAAGTGGTCTGGCGGGTGTCGGGGCGGTTAATACAGTTTACCGCCCATTTCATCCGAAAGGGTTAACTTCCTTCAATAATGACTGGTAAATATTTAAAGGTAGCCTTTAATCTTTATATTATTAGCTTTATGAGTACATATCATCTGTATTAATATAGAACTATAACAAAACTTTATCTATTTGCTTGATGAAAGACATTTTCTTCCATTAAAATAAATAGTAATCAGATAAATGAGAAAATTTGTATGTGTAGCAATAGGTACATGTGTGGCAATACAAACATAGACCAGTGTCTTATAACTAGCCAAGTTCTCACAAACATGTTCAATATACTTAAGCCTCTTTTGATGATGTCTTATGATATAATATGTTATTCACGACATTTTTTTTAGCAAAATAAAATAGTAAAAGGCAATTCGGTTGGAAGGTTTTTTGGATGAAGGATTTGGATGGAAATTAAGTACACAAATAAATACCTAGAGTAAGATATAGGCTCAGCCGCTAGATGTTAATATCTCGGTCCTAACAATTAAAAGGTTAAAGCAATCTAATATAACAAAACATTTTAAGCAAAGGCAAACATGTACAGGCAACAATAAAACATGAATCTAATAACTGGAAAAAAAATTCCATTACACTTTCTGCTCAGTCCTTTCGTTATTACATTTCCATTTTTTTAGCTCTTTTTTTAAACAATAGATATCTTTCTCACTCGGTTTTCGGTAGAAAAGAGGTGCAATAATGCAGTATTTCTTTTATGTTTCAAATATTAATCTAAATATGGTCATTACATCATCAAAATGAATAGATTATTTACTTTACTAATGTAATATAGCAATATGGTATCCTTCCTCCCCCCTTCCTATCTCAAAGAGCGTTTCGAGCTTCTAAGGAATTCTCATACTCGTTCCCTGCGTTCTAGTGAAACGCTTATCCTCAAAATTCCTTCTCACTCCTCTTGTTTTCTTACCAACTCCTTTTCTGTGAAAGCTGCACGTCTATGGAACTCTTTACCAGTACACATCAGACGGGCTGATAATTTGGACAAGTTTAAGATGATGTTAAAAACGCATTATTTATCTCTTTAGTTGGTCTTACTATAATATATTATGTACAATATATTTGATATTGTATGTATCTTATATGTATTTATTTGAAATACGTAACTTAAATACTGATTATATTTTTCTATTATACTGCTTGTATGCATATATGTTTGTATGTATGTATTTGTGTATGTATTTATGTATGTATGTATGTATGTATGTATGTATGTATTTATTTATGTATGTATGTATATATGTATGTGTATAAGTATGTATTTATACAAGTACACCGCCTACCATTTTTATATACTGATTCCTCTACCCTAAGGTTGCCTGGAAGAGATCGCTTTTAGCGATAAGGCCGCCTGCTGTGCATCTTTTTATTGTTATGTATTTCACTTCTTTATTTATTTTCTTGTGTGGTGTGCAATAAAGTGTTCATTATTATTATTATTATCATGGTAAGGAATTTTGCATGTCTGAGGAAACCTAACAAGTTTCGAAAGAAAAAATGGTTAAAATATGAAATCCGTCATCTTGCACATGACCAGCATGGTGGAATATGTCTTGAATTTTAGGTTTAAGAATTTCTAAGTTCAAAAAAAAAGAAAATAACCGAACTAAAAATTAAAATTTTGTTGTATGTATGGTACTATATCACCAACCGGCAATATTCGGTCAAATAATATTTTTTATTCATCTAATATTCGGACGAATAGATTCATCGATATTATTATTGGCTCTAGCTTAGAATCAACACAATGGGCCTCAACAGATTAAATAACTTCAAATAAAGTTTTAGAGGTACCTATCATTAACAGTCTGATACTTCCATTAACTGACTCAAATATAACTGAAAGCCATTTTCTAATAAATCACAAAACTTAACTGCTTAAAGCCTATGCCTTTAATTGCAGTAATCAATGGCAGACCCTTACATAAGTTATTAGTAAGCTATTAATCATTTTAAGGGGTTTCCATTTTGTTAAAGTTTTTTACGTCAGGGTCATATTTACATTTACGTTAAAACGACTTGACAGATTTGGATGAAATTCAGAACACAGATGGATTATGACCTAGTATAACCGTAAAGGAATTAAGCGAAGCACCTAATGGTAAGTCGCTATCTATACTAATATTATAAAGAGGTAAAGTTTGTGAGTTTGTGAGATTGTGAATTTGTGAGTTTGTGACGTTGTAGGGGGCAATCTCTGGATCTACTGAACGGATTTAAATGAAGGTAAGAAGATAGTTTGAGACCCTAGAAAGGACATAGGATACTTTTTATTTCGGAAATCATCCCTTAAAGGGGTGAAAATGGGGATGAAAGTTTGTATTGGGAATCAAATTAGGGACGAACCAAGAAGCGAGGGTGAGTCGCTAGTTATTATATAAACATTCTTACCTAACAAGAAGCGTGGCGAAGAGCACAGTCAACAACGGCAGCAGTGTGGCGAAACAGGCGAGGAACAACGTCTGCACGTCCGAGAAACCTGAAAACATGGACACAACTGCGACAGGTCATATGCCTACAGGCTGCAGGTAGGTGGGCAGGCAATAAACCTCATATTTTAAATATAAACCTTAATCTACTTATTTTTCTAACTATTGTCCCTAAATAAAGTTACCTTAGTTAATATTCTAAAACTAGCGGCTCACCCTTGCTTCGCTCGGATTCGCCTCTAGAAAAATACTAATAGAGATCTATTAGTTACCACGGGAACCATTTATTTTTCCGGGATCAAAAGTAACCTGTTGTTTGACCGGCAATATAAGGTATCAAAATGTTAAATTTTACTAAATTAGGTGCATAAGTTGTTGTGTACTAAGCTGTATAAGATACTATAATTTTTTAACTATCCGATGGGAACTCTTTAATTTTCTGGGATAAAAAATAGCCGATTTGTTATTGTCATGTATGAACTATATTATTGTAAAGTTTTATTAAAATCCAATCAGTAGTTTTTGTGAACTAAGCTGTATAAGTAATTATCCCACGAGAATTATTTAATTTTCCGGGATAAGAGAGATATAAGGTACCACCATGCAAAATTTCATTTAAATTGGTCTAATAGATTCGGAGATTAGCCCGTACAAACAGACAAACAGACAGAGAAACAAAAAAATTGAAAAAAATCTGGATTTGTTCTATTTGTCTTCTTACATCCCCCTGACTCGGTTTTTAGAATTTTTTTCTATGTACAGACATTCGACCTCTACTGTTTTATTATAGTATAGATAGATTGCAGTGGAAAATTAAATATGAATCGAAATAACATTCTTTCTTTCTAATATGTCACGGTCAGAATAAGTATGTATAATACTTTAAATAAAATAAAACTAGCTTATCGGATTTTTTCGCGAATTTATTTTGTTTTTTGGTTCCCGACGTTCCTCATGATCTCCTCGGTGACCGAAAGAAAATCCGAAAAGATAGTTTTATTTTATTTAAAACTATGTATGGTTATGTGTACAGCTTCCCTATTTGAATCGGATATTATTAAATTTTTCATGGTTTTAATTTTTTTTTCGTGGGACCCTATTTTTTTCTAAAATAAAAGTAGCCTAAGTTACCCCATATTACATCATCTATCTGCCAGTAAAAGTCGGTCCAGCTATGGCTTCGCGTAAATCTAAGAAAGTATTAAGTATAATAATTTCCCAAGTAAAAGGAATAGAAACTCGGGAAAAACTGGAGGCTTAAGTGAAGCAAGGTCGGGTTGCAATAAAAAAAAGATTGACTATAGAAAAAATATAATTAAATTCCTTTACACATGAAGCCCTAAGACCTAAGCCCTTAAAATATATTATGTATAATACTTTCTTAGAATTACGCGAATATTTGACATTTTAAATAAAACTATCTTTTCGTATTTTTTCGCAAAAACTGTAGATTTGGCCTCTATATCGATAATAATGACTATTTCAATAAGATTTAAAAAAAAATATTTAATGTACTGATTCGACTCAGTTAAAATTTTATTAGGTATATGTATAGATTTCTATTTTTCAGCGATTGTAGAATGACATCTTGGCTTCTAACTTACGTCATAATTTTAATAGCTAATAGCTTATTGACATGTATCTACAATCCATGCACATATTTAATACATAAAATACTGCAAGTAACCTTGTTCTAGTTCAACATAAGACAACGGATGAGCTTTTAATCAACAAAGGTATGATAAATGGAACGAGAGCTTTCTTTCTTTTTATTTATAGAGGAAGAGCCCGTGAACGCCAGACCTTCGTCATTTTATAAAGGCTGAAAGTTTGTCAGCGCATGCTCCCAACACAGATAAGAACGATGGACTATCATGAAGTTCAGGCTATGGTGGCTTTGGCAGGTACACGGTACTAAAGGTGTGTAAAATACCGATCTAAATTCGTCAAATAATAAAGTGTGATTTTTTGGTATTACCTTCAGAATATTATTAAAAATCACGTCATTCAATGCCAGACACTTAATATCGTGGCAAACCCTTGCCAGACACCCTTTTCATGAAATCATAATTCTACTTACGTTATAGTATAAAAGCTGATTTTTATATATAATACTTGGGTAATAATTAGATGATTTATAAGACTGCTAGCATAGCATTTATTACACGCCATCAAAAATGAAGTCAATTCTTGGCGCTTCAAATTTGGTGACCATTTGCAACACTTTCTTAGAAATGCCTCCCAACTTGTTTGGAACATTTTTCATGTACCTGCCAAAACCACCATAGCCTGAACTTCATAATGGTCCATCGTTCTTATCTGTGTTGGGAGCATGCGCTGACAAACTTACAGCTTTTATAAAATGACGAAGGTCTGGCGTTCACAGGCTCTTAGGCCATTAAAAAGCACATGTCACTAAAAAGAGCTACTAAAATCGGCCTGTAGTTTATTTTGAAAAGAACATTAACTAACAAACAAATTAATATGTGATTTAAAGGAATAAGTACGTACGAATAAGCTTTCGCTTAAAAAGAAATTGAAATTACGTTTGATATTTTTAAATGATACTAAAAAAAATCTATATACGTTGAAACCAAATACTTTTCCAAAATTCTGAGGGCCATTTTTTAGAAGCAAGACGTACACAATAAAAGATTATTTTTATGCCCAGGAAAAAACGTCTGTCGTCCGCTTAGTTTCTGTTATACAAAACCAAAATAAAATAGAGAAAATATAGTTTCATTAAAAATGTCAAATATTCGCATCTAAAACGTCAAAATATATTCGCATATTATCCTAACTATCTACATATAATAAAATTCTAACCGAGTTAAATCTGTATATAAAATATTTTTTGGAAAATCTTATTGAAATAGTCATTATTGTCGGTACAGAGGCCGAATGTATAGTTTTTAGAATTTTTGTCTGTATGTCTGGGAAAGCATCACAAGAAACCCACTGGACAGATTTTGATGAAATTCGGTATGATGATAGATGGTTATTCGGATCAACATATAGGATACTTTTTACTGCGAGAAATAAGTGAGAAATATACACTAGCCGTTAAAACGTACCAAGGGATGAACCCGAGCGGAGCGAGTGTGAGTCGCTAGTATACTATATACATATTATAAATATTTATCACTGGGTATCGTCAGCTAACATGTAGACGTGTTAAGCGCACATAAACATTTTTGAATAGTCTATTATACAATCTGTAGTTAATATATTATTTAGAACTTGTAATATACATGAATAGTTTTGTATCATCTACATTTAATTACCTACACTATTCATCCTACAAATCTTACTTCTAGGCCATAAAAAATTCGCATCACGTACAGAATACTGCTATCTGAATACAAAGCCGACATAAATAACTCTCGTTAATTTGTCAAAAAGGTTCTGCCCCGGGGTCTTTGGGACCCTGTGTCACTTTGTTAAATGGCGTATTCAGAGCAAACACGCGGTAATTGGGTTTAATCAATGTACGAAAAAACATGATATGCGGTAAAGGTGAAATATGCGATGCCTGGCCAAATTTTAAAGCTATGTGACCCGAACGATAATAAAACGACCAATTGATCATAGGAGTTATCGTTTTAGGCTGCATACATCATGTCCATATAAAGGCAGAGTGCCTCATTGATCTAGTGGCTAGTATAAATGGCTGAAGATGAATATTTAAAAAATTAAGGAGGTAAGTAGGTTGAAGAATGAAACGGCAAAGAATTATGGCATTGTGGTGACTGTTCTAACCTAATCTAGAAAGAAACAAAGGGTTTTTCAGAGGAGGACATAGCTCCCGTCTTAGCCAAAACTTTGTAGTCAAAACGACTTTTGACCAACCTCAAAAGTAGTCAAAAGTAATTTTGTCTAAAAAATAGTTTTAACGTCTGTAACATATGCACAAAAACATAAATAATTTAGTATCTTCTTCTTTGATGTCGGTCAAAAAAATCGAATCTACCCAAGGGTAAAATAAGTCTATACTCGTACATATAATAAAATTGTAACTAAGCCGAATCTGTACATTAAATATTTTTTGGAAAATCTTATTGCAATAAACATTATTATCGATACAGAGTCCGAATCTATAGTTTTTAGCTTTTTGTCTGACTGTTACCGCATCACACAAAAACCACTGGAAGGTTTTTGATGAAATTTGGTATGGTGATAGCTAGTTATCGGGGTCAACATATAAGATACTTTTTACAGAAAAAATGCAAAAACTGCAATGTAAGAGTATACTAATCTGTAAAACGTAAGAAGTTGGTTTTTGATTATCTGAACGCGGACGGAGCCGCGGGCAATGCTAGTATTACATAAAATCCTCTGTGAAAAATATCGAATCGAACGCACATTATATATGCAGATATAAACAATAAAGTAAAATGTACCAGATTACAGCCAGGTTAATCTCGTCGTGTTGGACATTTATATTCTGTCGGGGTGACAATGAAGCATTCATGTCGAATTAATCCTTCGAACAAAAACATTCCAAGCGGTAATGTTTAAAAGAGGTATTGAGTACATTGTTGTATGTACTTATATCTTAAATGTATATAGTGTTAGTTATACTATAAACAATTAAGATTATTTAGATTGTTATTTAGGTGATTTTCAAGCATTTTCTATTGTAAAGTTTATTATAAAAAGAATAATATAAAAAGAATTAGTTATAAACAGAATTTGTAGCCCATATTTTGACCTAACTTGACCAATATTCTCTGAATGGTCGATACAATCATATAGTAAAAACTCACAAGTTATACTATAATCTAATACTTTTTTGGTTTAAGAGTATCTTGGTATGAGAACTGGATAAAAATTCTTTCATATCAATGATTTAATACATAATATGTGTATATGTTGGCAGCTTTAAAAATAAAATCAATAAACTTACTTGTACAGATAGAAAAAAGATTATTTATTATTATTTAAATATAATATTATAATTTAAATATTAAAAATATTATTATTTAAATATTAAAGATATTGATTATTTATTATTATTTAAATTTAATCAAGCTTACCATAAATATTAAATCTACTATCGAGCAATGTATGCTAAATTATCTATTAAACAAACGGTAAAAACAAGCCTAGCTTTGAAACATGTTTCTTTTTTCGATTATTCTTGCGTATAAATCAAAAACTTGAGAAAAATTTTTTTTGTTTATTGGGAAAACAAACAGTGTTTACAATTTTTTATATAATAGTTTACATAAATGGTTCATAGACCTATAAAGTTTGTACTGATACGTGAATCATATCGAACGGTAAAGTTGACAGTTACAAAACAATTATTACAAAAAAATACATATACATACATATTAAACTTAACAAAAACAAAAAAAAATAACTAAAACTATATGACACAAAACATAAAATTAATCTAAAAAAAATAACTGGTAAATAGATAAAAAATATTACATAAGTTCACTAATCAATTTTTAACTTAATTGATCATTAATAATCTTAATTAATGCCTTGGAATATCAAAAGAGGATATCTTTGATTACTTTTCGTGCTAATTACATGCATTAATTCACCAATAAACGAATTGAGCGTGTTATAAAATTTACCTATAACTTGGGAGACATCTTAATTAACAAGTAAATAATAAAAATTAAATCCTAATATTACTTTCTTTATCTCATCGTAATTAGCTTTATAAAATACTTTTACTGTACGCGAAGATTACGAGTACGGATATACACGTGTAACGATGGATGATGAATATCTTCTGCAACCAAAGGTGACATGAAGCGACTCACTTTACATTGATAATTACTAAAAACTAAATCTAAAAATCTCCCATTAGCATTAGCAATGCAATTGAATTATTTTAGGTCCGTTAAATTCATAAAATTATACAAGTAGGCGATACCAATATCATTGTCTATGAAATTTTCAATATTCATAGTATTATCACAATTCTTCGATAATTTGACAGCCGAGATGTTAAAATTTCCTACAATAACAAAATGATCCAGGGGATTAAGTATCATTTCAGAAGAAATATGCTCAAGATATTCTTAAAATTTGTAATTTAAATGATATATAAGATATTTTCTAATATTTAAGATGTTTTCAATACCTTAAATATTAGGAATAAATATTCATCTCAAAAATTAAACACTTAACATCAAACATTAACTTCTTTTTAGTAAGAACTAGAAAGAAGTTAACATAAAAATTAGAACTAGAACTTATAAACAACAAAAAGCATTACTTTAGCTTTTACTAACTTAAAACAATTACTCACTTGTGTCCGGCGCGGCATCGTTATCCACATTATGCGCTGTTATATTCGTCAAACTGTATGCGCTTTTATTTTCATTTATATTAGACGGTTTGATTACTTCTACGAGCTCCACATAATCAACTTTTCGCAATACATCGCTACTGTTACGTTCTACTTTGTTCAAACTATTATCACTAATACCTATATCTTTGGTTCCGTTATTATCAATACTATTTATTTTGGCAGCTATCAGAAATTCAAATTTGGGCATATCTTGCGTAAACTCTGACGACCCAGATCTAAACAGTATGTCTGTTAAGGTTTCTTCCCTATCAGATTCTGAATCTATCATCTCGTCTAACAGAGGACTTGATATGTTTAATTGTTTCTCAAAACCTTCCGGGTCATTTTTTGGCATTTCTAATATACTAAAATTATCTTTGTTATTAGTCCGTGACAAATCTTCATCTCGGTCTTGTTCTGCGTTCACAATTGCCTCCATTTGAGTATTGGAACTCTTATTTGTTTCTTCTGGTGTTTCATCCTCATCAGCAACCATAAGCGTGTCGGAGTTAGAGTCTACAGGTATATTAAATGTGCTATTGTTAGAAAAGTTCATAATTATATCTGTTGAGTTGAAGGAGTAGGGTCGTGAGTGTACCAAGTCGGCGGATAGAAGTGCGTTGAGCAGAAAATATATTAGCTTTAATTTTACGTTCGTCATTTTCCAATCGGCTTTGTTTTAGTCAAATATCCATTTTAATTTGGTGTAGTTAGTCTTGGTTATTCATTGTTATTCAATCGTCGTTCTGGAGCCAATCTGAAACAATGGCAACTATTAAGTATAAAAGTTATTATGATCGTATTTCTACCCGAAACCATCGTTTTTTCTCAGTCAACTTTGTTTAAAAGCTAAAACGAGGGCGGTATAATATGATTTCTTTCGTAGATAAAATATGACTGGTACTTTTAATGGACATTTTGATACTAAAAATATATTGCGATAAACTGAAATAAATTTAAAGCGACGTGACGTACAATTTGTAAAATTGTTAATGGGACTTTTGTATTCGGTGACCTCATTTTGTATCTGAGCTATAAAATATTAAACATAATATTAAGAACATTGCTATTTATATGCAGAATGTAGTATTTAGAATTTAAAAGACAAGAATTTAAAATCAATGAATTAGTACCATACGCCCATAATATTTAGCTTAGAACAGAAATAGTTTTAAATTCGATGACTTTGCTGGTCTATATTTTTAAAACTACTGAACTAATTTTGATGAAACTTGTACTGTTCCCTAAGTTGAAGTAAATGTAAGCCAATAAAAAAGAATGGTCTTAATCTGATTAGTTTCGAATAGTTTCGAACAAACCCGACTTTGTTTTATATAGGTACATATAGCAGCTAGCAGTACCCGCGGTTTCGCCCGCATTCTCAATACTAAAAAAACAAACTATTTGACACACCGACCGCAGTGCTACCTACCAGGTCTAATTATGTTTTTAAACCATCCAGGAGCCCATTTTTAAAAAAGATATACACACAAAATTTCACCTAAATCGGTCTAGGAGTAAGGCAACAAAAATAAACAAACACGCGTACAGAAGAATTATATATATACATATATAGGATTAAGTATATTTGTAATTTCAATTTATTTCTATTACTGTTTGTTATAAACGTCTACTCAAATTATTTATAGACACTCGATACATAGTTGACACTGACTAATTACAATCGGCGAAATGGAACGCTCCACTATTGCATCGCTGAATTGCATTGGTGTATCTAACAGGTTATTGCTCATGGATTTAACTACAGTTTAATTTGAGCTTCGCTTGCATCTGTAGATAGCTTACATAAAGCTACATAAAGCCTTCTCAAGTTCCTTGGATAGTATGATTGAGAATCTGTTTTTTTTTTATTTATTGATTAGTACATGTTCAAGCAGAAACGGTTTTTAGTATTTCCTGAATATAAAAATTATTATGGAGGCGAAAGTTTATGAAAAAAATATTTTTATATTATACCTAAACTAAAAGCAAGTCCTATTCATTCGTAAATCTATACATATAATCAAATTCTGATGAATCGAATCTGTACATTAAATATTTTTTTGGAAATTCTTACTGAAATAGTCATTATTATGGACACAGAGGCCGAATCTATAGTTTTTAGAATTTTTGTCTGTCTGTCTCTCTGTCTGTGACCGCATCACGAGAAAACCAGTGGAAAAATTTTGATGAAATTTCGTATGATGATAGCTGGTTCAACACCTGGTCCGGGTCAACATATAGGATACTTTTTATTGCGGGAAAATATATGATCTCTGAGAAATCTATACTAAACGTTAAAGCGTAACATCAACGTAAAATAAAAATTTTAAATATGATATTATACGTATATCCTTACAGTGTAAGTTAACAGATTATCCACCACCAAACTTGCTGGACCCAAAGAGATAGAACTTTGACAACGAACATTAATAACAGTTAAAAATGGTGTTTTTCCATTTAACCTCTAAAAGGGTAGCTAAGTTTATATGAAAAATAATGTCTTCCTTCCAAAGCTAACTTGATTTGTAACACAATCACGCTCTTAGACAACAATTAATGTAACTCGTATTTCATTATTCTTTTGAAAACTACAGAATTTTCTTTCAAAATTTTAAAACAAAAGAGCTAACATAACAAATCGAATATATTTTTAGGAAGTTTTAAATTAACAAAAACCGGATTATGTGAGTCGCTATAGTAGATGACTTTATACGTTGTAGCCGTTACATTAAGAAATTTATTCTCATTAGGGTGTCTCTTGGTGTCTTTATACATTTATATTATTTACGGGTAGCACCACTTTATAGAAATTTTTATTAAGTAGTATTTTAGTAGTAGTATTTTTTAGTCAAAATTATGTTTCTATACCATTTGCTGTAAAAACCCTTGGCCCATGAAATCAAAGTGCCAAGCAATCCTTCAAAGACATAACACCTCGTCTTATCGTCTCTACTGGTGACAAGAGAGCTGAACCATTTTTCGCCCAAAGAATCAGCATTTCTGTACAGCGTGTGAATGCGGCTAGCATTTTTGCCACTATTCCACACAGATAGAACTTGTACAGTAATAATTAGGTATACATTTATTTTATATATTTAAGTATATTTGTAATTTCCTTTATTGTAAATAAATTAAGTAGCCTATGTATTCCAGGTCATAATCTATGTACTAAATTTCATCAAAATCTGTTCAGTCATTTTAGCGTAAAGAAACAAACTTATTTACATTCATAATTATAATATTAACGTGATCTTATAAAAACAGAATAAATCTAATTAAATTCCATTTAAATATTTCGCTGTAGCGAAAGCTCTTAAAGCTCTGAATAGAGTAAGCTCGTGCCGTAACGTGCGAGTTGAATGGAAACATATTCAAAGTAACGAGTACTTTTCGTTTTTAGGTTCCAAAAAATGCAAAAAAATACGTTTAATTTATTTTGTGGTTTTTCCAGTTTTTTTTAATTCGAATTGTAATCTTTTTCAATTTTTGTTTATTATTTTAATTGTTTTAGTATATTTTGTTATTAATTATATTAATTTAATATTTTATAATAGTAATTGATTATTGTAACATAGATATAATGTAAACATTTTATAAAATCTCCAAATTTGCATGTGGTATTCACCTTAAAAAGGTAGTGCAATTAGCTATAAAACTTAAAAAAAATTGTACTCGTATATAATAAATTGTATTATTGTAACCAACCACTGGTGAATCTAATAAATAATTAAATAAATATATGGTATGTATGGTACTCATTTACCGATATCCTCTTCCTACCCACACACTTTTGGGTTCACCTGGATACTTTATAGGTATTAAATTCAGCCCCTTTTAACGTCTCACAGGTAGGCAGTAGGCACGAGTCTACCTCCAACGAAAGGAAGATCAAGCCATAGTCCACCGCGCTAGCCAAGTGCGGGTTGGCCGACTTCACGTGTCTTTCGAAAACTTGCTAGGTTCACTGAGATATGCAGGTTTCCTCACGATGTTTTCCTTCACCGTACGAAAAGTGGTACTCATGTTGGAAATGATTCGATATGATAATATCAGAGACACGAGACCCGGGATTTGACCCCGCTTCACTCAAATTAGCAAGCGACCATTACCACTAGGTTACCACTGCCTTAAATTTGTTACTATGAGAAGCAAATAACGTAAAACTTATATATGGGATTTGTTATTTCATTAATTTTCACCTACCAAAGTGAGAGCACGCTTAGATTATGTAGAAACAAATTAATTAAGCATGCAGTTATTTTAATTATATGTTAAATATTCTATGAAAAGATATAAAGTGGTAAATTTTTACATTTTTCTTTCTCTTCTCCAAAATAATCATTCTCTTCATACTCATCCTACTAAAAGCGACTGTTTATCTACGCGAGTAGATTTCTACATTGTAACTGTAAATTATGTAATATCAAAAGTTCTAACTTCAAAGTTTAATTTCTTTACAAATAAGTATTTTAATACTAGCGACTCACCCTCGCTTCGCTCGGGTTTGTCCCTGAGTGATTCTTTAAATTGAGATAACTTTTTTATTTATGAACCGATTGAAATAAAACAAATACTAAATGTTAAATGAACCTCACTACAATACATTAGTGAAAACTGAACTCAAATTTATTAAGCCGTTTCTGAGATTAGCGCATACAAATGCAGAGACAAACAGACAAAAAATTTAAAAATCATTCTTTTGGATTCTATTGCGTTAATATAAGAACCCCAATAATAGTTTTTCTCAAATATCTTCCATGTACAGACAGCGATCAGTTACACGTTTATTATATGTAATAGATTATATAAAATATATACATACACCCAGAAGAAGTCCTTTAAATGATAGTAGAAATCATATAATAATCACACTACGGGACTTAAACGCGTGAATTTATTAGTTGTCCACGCGACATTTCGACTGGATTGCACCAGCCGTGGTCACGGGCAGTCTCCCCTCTGAGTGATATATAGCCACTAACAAATTCACGTCCCGTAGTGTAAATATTATATAATTATGCAACGCGAAAATCTAAAAAGTTTAATAGTAGAAATGTTATTTTAAAAATTAAAAATTATATTTTAAAAATCGCTTAGGCAAAAGAACTAAATGCTTTTTTTAATATTTTAACTTAATGAAACAGACAAAGCTTTGTGCAAGCCCTAAGCTTTAAAGTTTAAGGGGCAAACAATGGCTTATGAGCAGCTTTTATTAAATGTTGAGACTTTTAATATTCGTACATCGCACAATGTCGCTCGGAAGCTGACGCGACAGTATCGCCCCATTCATACGTCATGTAATCAATCATGGCTTTCTATAGATCTGCAATGGATTAGGATAATACCTATATGATGGCGCTTAGTTTTTAAGATGATGAGAAGATGTTCCGCTCAAACTTCGTCTGGACGCTTTTTGAAATTCTATTTTCGGAAATTTTTATCTATTTTCATATATTGGACGACACGTTTGGCTCAGTTTGTAATGATCCTACTCGCTGTGCCAGCGGTCGTGGGTTCGAGTCCCGCTGGGGGAAATCATTTGTGCAATGAGCA